GATCGGTAAGAACTTGGAGTGGCTCGCTGGGGAGGTGCTTCGAGTGGCTCGGTCGGCAGGTGCTCCGAGTGGCTCGGTCGGTAGGTGCTTGGAATGGCTCGGTCGGTACATGTGCTTGGAGTGGCTCGGTCAGTAGATGCTGAACTGATCAAACGGAAAAAAAAAAAAAAATAGTAGTGCGACGCAAGCAGCGGGAACATGACGGGATGCCTGCACCGGAACTTACGAAACGAAAAAAAAAGGAACGCGAAGCATGAACGACGGCCGCTGCAGCGGCCAGAAAGGGGAAAACGGTGCCAAAAGCGAGGGAATGAAAAAAAAAAAAAAGAAAAAAAAAAAGGGGGAAATGTGGGCGTGGGCGTGGGTGTGTGGGTCTGGATGGTTGCTGCGGTGGCGGGGGACGGCGACCGAAAAGTGGAAAGCAACGAGGAAAACGACGGAACGAAAAAGAAAAAAAAAAAAAAATATGGGCGTGGGCGTGGGTGTGTGGGTCTGGATGGTTGCTGCTGCGGCGGACGACGACGACCATTGCAGCAGCCGAGAAGGGGAAAGTGGCGGCTAAAGTGACGGAATGAAAAGAAAAGGGAAAATGTGACCGTGGGCATGAGCGCCGGCATGGGCGTGGGTGCATGGGTGCGTGGGTGTGGATGGTTGGTGTTGCGGCTGCCTGCGCTGCCCTGATGCCTTTTGCCGCTAACACGAGTAGGAAAAGTGGGATCGCGACAAAAACGAAAAAAGTTGTCGGTGACGCGAGCAGGAAAAAGTAACAGCGCGACAAAAACGAAAAAAAAAGAAAAGAAAGCGGGAAAACAAAAAAAGAAATAAGCGAGCAGGAAAGCGAAAAAAAAAAAAACGAAGCGAGCAGCGGGAATGCGATAGACTGCCTGCACCGGAAATGACCCAACGAAAAAAAAAGGGACGCGACGGATTGCCTGCATCAGAACTTACCAAACGAAAAAAAAAAAAAAGGGATAACGGCCGCTGCAGCGGCCAAAAAGGGAAAAGCGGCGCCGAAACCGACGGAATGGAAAAAAAAAGGAGGAAAGACGGT